GCCCTGGGCTGGGGTCCGGAGCGAGGGCGGGCCCGGACCACCCCCCCCCAACCGCCGCGGGGCGCACACCGAGTAAGTTGCGGGCAGCGGCAAACAACGCGTTGGTGACTGAGGGGGCGGACGTAAGCCCCCCCGGGGGTCAATCCCCTACACGTGGTGGAGAATGTGGGCACAGTAGGCCCCGGAACGGGGGCCTGGACAGAAAAGCCCCGTTCGTAACTGCGGATCCGACATAAGTTGGATCCGCGTAACTCGGGGACTGCCTGTACTCCAACTGAGGCCTAATTAGCGCAGAGTAGAGCGAAAGAATGTGTCGTCTTGTGTCTTGCTCACAACTCTCCTATTAATGCATCCTAGAATCATGTTTGCTTTTTTTGCAACAGTGTCATGCTGTTGATTCCTGTTTGGCTTTCCTAGACAGTAACTTCCCCTTCTGTATGTGTGAAACTGATTGTTCCTTTCTACATGGAATATTTTGCATTTGTCCTTATTAAACTTCATCCTATTTACCTCAGACCATTTCTCCAGTTTGTCCAGAACATTTCAGACCTGTATGCAGGAATTTCTGTGTGTGTGTGAAGGGGGGGTGGGGAGGGAGATGCTTGCTTGTGTGTGTGTGGTTGGTTTTTGTGTGTGTGTGTGTGTAAATGTGGACCGCAAGAGTGTGAATGCATCCACCATAGGCCCCCAAGTAAGCAGGGAAATCAGCCCCAGCCTTCCCCCAGCAAGCCAGAGCATACTTACTTGGGAGACCTTACTTGATACTTACTTGGTGCTTTCCCGCTCCTTGCACGCACTCCCTCCCATGGACAGGCCTGCATTTTGAATTATGACCCTGTCCTCCAAAGCACTTGCAACACCTCCCAGTTTGGTATCATCTGCAAACTTAATAATCGTTTAAGTATCTAAATTGTTGATGAAGATATTGAACAGAACCAGTCCCAAAACAGACCCTTGCAGAACCCCACTTGTTATGCCCTGCCAGCATGATTGTGAACCATTGATAACTACTCTCTGAGAATGGTTATCCAGCCAGTTATGCACCCACCTTATAGTAGCACCATATAAGTTGTAGTTCCCTGGTTTATTGATAAGAAGGTCATGCAAGACTGTGGCTAGGTATAACATGTCCACTACTTCTCCCTTATCCACAAAGCTTGATATCCTGTCAAAGAAAACTATCAGCTTGGTTTTGACATGATTTGGTCTTTACACCTTATTATCTTACTGGTCTGTAGTTTCCTGGGTTGTTCTTATTTCCCTTTTTACCCTTTTTATAGATGGGCACTAGATTTTCCCTTTGCCAGTCTTCTGGTATCTCTCCCGACTTTCCTTTTTCAGAGATAACTAAAGGCTTGAATGCCTCCTCTATCAGCTCCTTGCGTATTCTAGGATGTGTTTGTCAGGGGGTTGGCGTGGCATCCCCCCTTAACACCATACTGTATCAAACTTGTGTCCCCAATAGATAATTCTTATGGCCAGTACCTCCAGTTTCAGAAAAACGTCCATTATAGCTAGTTATGCAAGAACCTGCCTAGAGGGAGCATTTCCTCTTAACCTTCACACAATGCTGTGTGTTAGCCCTAGGTAAATATTTCGTAAAGCTAGGGAGAAGGAGCTGTTTGTAATGTGTGGTGGCTTTTGGTTGTCTTCTCAGGGTTGTGGAAAGCAAGAATCCCACCTATCCAGTAGGGACCTATGTCGTGGCTAATTCAGGTTGGAGAACTCACTTCATCTCTGATGGGAAAGATCTACATCTGCTTCCTTTTTGGCCAGAAAAGATCCCCAGATCTTTGGCTCTTGGGACAATTGGCATGCCAGGGTAAGTCACAGGACATGCTAGACCAGTGGTTCTCAAAGTGTGGTCTGCAGACCACTAGCAGTCCATGACCGTCTCATGGGTGGGCCTCGGGCTCATGTCAGCTGAATTCCTCCCTGCCCCCCCTCGCGAGGCTGGCTTCCCACTGCAGGGCGGGAGACCCAAGCCTTGTGGGCTGGATCCAGCTTGCAGGGGGTAGGAAGCAACTCTGCATGCTGCCACTCCTCCTTCCCGCTGGCTGGGAAAATGGCAGCACAGGAAACTGCCCACCTGTAGGCTTTCCCTGATGCTCCCATTTGCTGAAATCCCAACCAGACACCACTCCCCCTCCCCAAGCCCTTTCCTGCCCAGATCCCCAATCCTGCACCCACTTTTTCATCATGGGTGTGTGGAAAGATCTGCATTGAGCAGGGTGAGCCATGGGCTAAAATGTTTGAGAAAGCCTTTGTCTAGCACAGCCTAACTGAACTTCACTGCATTGAGATGCCCAGCTATCTGTGGGAATGCTCTACCAAGCCACACTTGAGCCTAATCAATGCATGCTCTGAGGGGCTCTTTCCACTGAATTCAGAGGGACTGAATTTTGATCTATCTCAGGGTGGGAAGTT